CCTCAGATGTCACCACAAATAGCTTATGGGTAACATCAAACGCCTTAAAATAAGAGTTGACTACTGTGCTGCCATGAGACACTGCTACTTCACGAGAACATTGGGAACGTGGACTGAGCATATTTGCTGTTGAACGAATGATGAGATCAAGTGGTATTTGGGCAGTACATTTGTTTTGTTGATATGCATTTTATTTCACAAGTAGGCATTCGCCACTGCCTACCTTCCGAACCTAATAAGCACAAAAATAGAGGGTTAGATGCCCCGCGACGTAACTGCAATACTCTAACTTCTTTGTAGCAAATATTAATGCGTCAGACTGCGGTTCATGTAAGCAATGCAGCCCTTACAATGCCTGTAAAGATGTTCACAAATAAGCCCAACTCACCAGCAGGAGGCTGCTAACGCCACTCATGGACATGGCCTTGGCGGCTGCTGGCTGGCTGACCGGTGGCGCTCTCGAATGCTCGGATGGCCGGACCCAACTCTGGTCTGCTGCAGCAGGCGCGTTCGCGTGGCCGTGCTCACCACGTCCGCGACTGACTGCGGCGCCGGCGAACTGGACAGGTGCTGCGGCTCGCGCCCGCGGGCACGTCTGACTGGATGGGTGCCGCGTAAATCCCGCGCCAGCGCTCGTGCCAGCCGGACACGGTCCCGCACGGAGAAGCGGTCGTACCTTTGAGCCAGAGTCATGCCAGACATTTTTATTGATGCGCACACGAAACTAGGAGCGGCGGCGAACCAGACAGCGTCGCGCCCAGCAGGGCCGGTCGCAGGGCCCGCACGAACGAGCCAGGATCAGCTGCAACATACGTCCCAATAGTGTGACTCACGGGCTAGTAATGCTACTCATGTGACTCAGGTCATGTGGCTCATGGTCTGGCGTTCCCTCACAAAGACTGGTTATGTAACACACGTGATGGTAAGGCGGCTCACGGGGTGGCAACGTGACACTGGGAATGGTAATATGGCAGACTGATGCTGCCACACATAGACTGCTACCGCGATACACGCCCGGTAATACGATACATGAAGTGCTGCCACAACACACGTCCTTGTAATGCGAAATATGGATCACATGTTCAGACATGAAAACGAAGGCTGTCAAATCATGACACACGTCTTATGGCATGATGAACAGCGATATGTTGAGGAGCATAGTTCCTGAACAGAGAAACTGTGTTGTCTGGAGCAGTTTTTTCCGCTTGCGCTAAAAAGCATACGAATAGCTGTATCATATCTGGTTCTTGTTTCAATATCTTTAGATATACAACTTATTGCGGGGTCAAAGATCTTCCCTTCAAATGAAGACCTTTGACCCCACTTCAGGTTTATCTTTCTCTCATATTAACTCATTTCCTACCCACTTTATTACAGCTTTAACAAAGGCAGAAAAATGTGAGATGTTAAATCCTAAAGCAATATTTCTTCGGAAGGAAAAGCCTCAGCACAGTATGTCTAAGACATCCGTTTACGTAGCCTGCCGTCTGCAAGTTTACAAATTCTACCGTATATTTTAATGGTGTGAAATGTTGAATGCTACTTGTTTACACACTTGATATCGGTAAAGATAGCAGGAGCAAACAGAACAGTGCTCTTTATGGAACGCGCACATTGGGAATTAATGGCAATCGAGTAACGGTAAAAGATAATGTAGGTAAGAGCCCCTGCAATCACCGTCGTAAATTGCGTGCTGTAGTTGAGCATGGAAAAACTCGGGCATAAATAGACAAAATCTTCACTACCACTACTAAGATTTCTACCAGGCATGTGATACACACCAAATGTGCATTTGATACGCCAGTAACTACGGGCTGTACTGACAAGTCAGATTGGTTTGGACAATGCAAGTCGTTCGGTGTTCCATTCGTTTCAGTCATCGATAATATGGGCCTTGAGTCACGGTTTGTGCATAACACAAAAAAGTTTCAGTGCATCTCATATTCAAAATACCAATCAAACGCAGCACGTCGCTGCGTTGAATCAAATAATCCATCTAACAATTCATCAATGAAATCAGGCGAAGCTTGGAAAATTTGGGTAATAGTGCTTTACTTTTCGGTGAGATATTTGCATCTAATTTGTAAAGGACTGCTATTTACTTAACTGGTGTGTCAAGTGTGCTCATGTTTTTTGTCATTATTTCCCTATTGGAAAATCAAAACATTGATTAAAACAAACATTGTTTTTCAGAGCTATATTGGGTATTCTTGTACATTCTTAAGTCCCTTTAATTTCAAAACTAACGCACAAGCAATATTGATATCAGTTTGGTTTTAAAAAGGCATAAGTATTGTCATAAGATATGAAACTCGCAGAAGTCCACCAAGTCTAGCCCACAGCCCGACCCACAAAGAGAGTAGAAAATGGGGTTCTTGCCCGGTCAGATATGACGGGTTAATGGGACAAATGTGACAGGCTGACGGGTCAGATATGACGGGTTAACGGGTCAGATGCAACAGGTTGATGGATCAGATTTGACGGGTTGAGGGGTTGCAGTTTTTCGTCTCCTACTCCGACTCTTACTTACAGCGACCATGACCTGATGAAGGTAGACGCGCTAACCCGGAGAACTACGCACATGCTTTCCAGCTTAAGCAGCGAGTATCAGAACAGGCTCACCAATTGGATACAGAGTCTACCTGATCTTTGCTATCCCCAGGAGCGGCGATAAACAGGGCCGGTCAGCCGGAGTGTAGCTACTGCCCATTTTTAAACCTAGAGTTATCCATTTCTACCAATGATAACGGTCTCAAGCTTTCAAAAACTTTGAAAAGTTCTTCGCTTTCATGCTCTAACAACACGATTTTATCATTGATTTTGAGCTAGAAATGTATTGAGGAGTTGTAAAAATATGGTCATAAAAGCCGTATATTTTCTATATATTGGGGTTGGTAGGCTAGTATAAGCAAGAGCATGCTTTTTTGGACAAGGATGATGCCAGATCCTTTTTGACCGAAATTTCCAAGAAATCAAAAACGTACGGTGGTATAATAGCGCAGCCAGCATCCCACGCGCTGGATCTTTCGCCACAGCTGATCGCCGGTCTTACTATTCGCCTCGGATTTTGGTGAACTATAAGCTTGAGCTGAAGAAAAAATGCCTAAATGATCCCGTTGGCGTGACTTAGCTATTAAATGCCTATAATGATCCCGTTTGCGTGGCTTAGCTATTAGATGCCTATAATGATCCCGTTTGCGTGGCATAGCTATTTGTGTCCATGAAAACGCATGCAAACAGTAGTTTCATTGTCAGTGCGTTTGGTATATACATAAATTTTGTAAAAGCATCTCAGCTAACTTTGTTGAAAGCCTCTCATCGCATTGGTTCCTCGTAAAAATTGCAATAATCATTACCAGTCCCTTGTTATTGTACATTACCAGTCCCTTGATTGTAAAGGTCATACTATCATGATTAATGACATATCATTATCAATATCATATATATATATATATATATATATATATATATATATATATTTAATGAATGATCAACAATATCATGCATTATCAGTGCATATCATGCGGCTAATTCTTTACTAATGCCCTGGTTTGTTAGTTTATCACAGCAGCCGACTCAAACAGACAAGTGCTGAACGTGTGCCTATGCTGCCACTGCCAATGCTTTTGTTGCTGCATATGCCGCTGGATGGTTGCTTATGGACTGGAATGAATCACATCATAGCCCGGTATCATATAATTAACATTAGTACCCACTGCACAGTTTGCTGCAGTAAATATCGGGGCTCGTTCGCACGATTTTCCACTCATTCCTAGCAGCTGTTGGTGTTTATGTGTGTCCCAAGCGACACGACTCTTGCCGCGGGATGACATTTGTCAGTGGTCAGCAGTTACTGGTGTTACTTACTGCCTTCCGGCGCCCGCTGTACCTATCCCTTCTGGGAGCCGCGTGCTGTCCACGGTGAGACCCATGTGCCGGCCATGCCGGGTCACATCCCGCGACCATCGGAGCTACGCGCAGATTGTGGTTTGTTCGGCGGCAGTTGTGTGGTATGTTTCAAATAGTATGCCACACAAAAGAAAACCTTGAATAACCTGGTTAAGAAAACCTAAATTCACAGCCTTGATTGTGTTTTACGAAGTACCACGACTCACCAATCAAAAGAAACACCGATATGGTGCCGTCTGAGGCATGACGAATGGCAGTCTTACGGGCCAGCGCTGATGCTTGGCATGTGTCTGCTGTTTATTTACGTAGCCGTTGTCGCGGGCACCAGATTTGGCTGCGCACGGAGGCACCACGGGGGTAGCGGTGCCGTTCTGCATCGTTTCATTCTCTTAATGTGGTCCTTGAAGGTTGGAGGATGGACGAATATTCTTCCTGATGCGGTCTGGTCATCAGCCTGCTATTTCCTGACAGTCTGTCCAGTTCTGAATACTGTGTAGGTGACGTCCAGCATCATGTTCTGAGTCCGGGCCCTCTCTGGATAAGGCAATGGCGACAAAAAGAAATCGCCTACTAACCAGAGGTGTGTCGTGCCCTGATGTTCCCCTGGCATTGAGCGTGCCATGTTTATAACTACTTTCACTGTTCGAAGGAAACAACAAAGTGTGCGCTGTCACGTCTCGCAGCGACGCCTGCCACCACCCCTCGCACCGCTTCTGCCCAGGGTCCAGCCCTGGCTGCGGCGACACACCACCACGCTGGGGAGGGGGGGGGGGGGAGGTCTGGTGACAGCCCCGTCCAGGGTGGCAGTGTCCGGGGGACCTTGAGCCGGTGAGGGGTGTCTGGCCCACCACGGACGTCCTCCGCACACAGCCAGAGTACGGCGCACCGAGACCTCGGCGGTCGTCAGCGGTGAGCGGTGCGGCGTGTGCTGTCGTCAGCGGTGAGCGGTGCGGCGTGTGCTATCGTCAGCGGTGGGCGGTGCAGCGCGTGCCGTCGTCAGCGGTGAGCGGTACAGCGCGTGCTGTCATCAGCAGTGAGCGGCTGCAGCGCATGCCGCCATCAGCGGTGAGCAGTACAGCGCGTGCCGTCATCAGCGGTGAGCGGTACAGCGCACGCCGTCTTCAGCGGTGAGGGATGCAGCGCGTTCCTTCGTCAGTGGTGAACGCGACTCAGCGCGTGCCGTCGTCAGCGGTGAGCGGTACAGCGCGTGTCGTCGTCAGCGGTGAGCGGTGCGACGCATGTCGCCATCTGCGGTGAGTGATAAAGCGCATGCCGTCGTCAGCGGTGAGCGGTGCGGCGCATGCCGTCGTCAGCGGTGAGCGGTGCGGCGTGTGCTGTCCCCAGCGGTGAGCGGTGCGGCGTGTGCTGTCGTCAGCGGTGAGCGGTGCGGCGGGTGCCGTCGTCAGCGGTCGGTGACGCGTCGCTAGGAGCCGTGCGGTGTAATCCAGCCGACTGGCCCGCTAGTCCTGGTGTGATGGCCTGCGGCGCGGTGCCATATATTCCGTACCCGACCCTGGTTGTACTTGGTTATGTACTGGGCCACCTGTGCATGTGTTTCACGCCTCCGTGAGCTCATCGTCATGCCTAATGGTTCCGTTATACCCAGAGTTTATGTTCGCCATTTATTACGCCTTTACCCAGAATGTTTTCCATTTAACAAAAGCATACGCACAATGAAGATCTCAGGCCCGTAACATTAAAAGGTTATGAACACACCAGTTGAGAAACCTCAGGTGACACTTGGCTTATTCCCCTAGGTATAGGCATGTATGTGCCATAAATGTAGTGAATAGAATAAGATGTAGATGGCTACTGAACAACACTGTCTGCCACGAAGATCTTCGCATGATTAACTGTTGGCCAGTGTGCATGTATTCACTAGTGTGGATGTGATTTTCAGAGCACTTGTTTAGATGCTCAACGTGATTGTTGCGAGGGTAGCAATTCCCACATATTACCAAGGTGGGTACGATGCGTATACAGGCTGATCGGAATTGAAAAATTCCTAGTGCCACTTAGTGACATCAGGATATACTTTGTTACAGGATAGCCATGTGCATCAGCTTATGCTACTCTGTCATGGTCTTTCCTGAAAGTTGCTAGAAAATGATGCGCTTTTTCCAGTAAAGCAGTTTGCACACTCATGTCGGAACTGAACTTATTCTACCCCTCGAAACATGTAAACGCGTCAATGCTTGAGTGCTTGTGAAACACAAGCGCTCCCTCCCTCTCGGACAAACTGCCATGCATCTTCCGCACGTCGTCAGCGGCGCTGACAGCAGCGCTGAGATCGCCGGCGAGGCACCAGGCCCACGGCCATCTGCAGAGCCGGACGGCGAGGCTGTACCACGGAGCGAACGGCGAGCACCACCAGCAGCTACCTGCCGGCATGAGGGTGAGCAGCCGCAGGACGCCTCGGGCTGGCGGCGGCGGCGGCGTACCACGGCCGACCGACGACCGTTTGCGTGATCATGCGGGATTTTGGGCCGTTAATGTCACCGCCCGCGATCATGCGGGGTTTTGGGCCGTTAATGTCACCGCCCGCGATCACGCGAGGTTTTGGGCCGCTAATGTCACCGCCCGCGGTCATGCGCGGATTTGGGCCGTTGATGTCACCGCCCGTGATTATGCGGGGATTTGGGCCGTTGATGTCGCCTCCCGCGATCATGCGGGGTTTTGGGCAGTTAATGTTACCGCCCGTAATCATCCGAATATTTGGGCCATTAAGGTCACCGTCCATGATCATGCAGAGTTTTGGGCCGGTAACGCTCTAACGTACACTCTCAGGCAACGCCTTCAGACCCTTCCGCTGAGTCGTACCCGGCGCTCGATGTGATGATACCGATGGGATGAGATTCTCGGTATTTCGCGCATTGGATGTGCTTCTTTTTTGTGACTGAGTGTTAGTTAGTTGACTTAGGCTGTGGCCCGCACAAATCAGTTCGTTCGCAGCAGTCTGAGGAGACAATGCGTGGTGCGGCCTTGCTGACCTGACTTACCACGTGCCCGGGTGCGCAGGTGGTTGATCTGCGCAGTGACACGGTCACCAGACCGACCGCTGCCATGAGGCGGGCTATGGCGGAGGCCGAGGTCGGAGATGACGTCATGGGTGACGACCCAACCGTTCAAGGTCAGCCCCAGCTCACAGGCATCCCAAAGATGATCTAAAATGGTTAGCCTCGGTGGGGTCTGGCTCTTCATTGCCTTCCGGCTCAAACTCCGCCCAATAAGGTGACGTCACAGATACACGCCATCGAAGAGCGCCTTCAGTTCCAAAAGGCAAATAGACACAAGTATAATCAGGTTAGTTAACCGTATAGAGACATATAACGAGTAAGATAGGCGCTTTTGAATGCTATTCGAATAACAGTTATTGGAAAGGGATCTGACGCCAAAGACATCACTATCGATCACACTACATGAGATCGAGATCTGCATATTTACTGGACATACCAGACAGCCAACAGCGCATCGACCGTTGCTAGGCGCTACTAGATCGAGAGCGACGACTTAGCTGTAAACAAACTCAACAGCTTCGCCTCTCGGGCGAGTAGGAAATGGGCCTGAGCCGTGACTTCATAGGTGGGAGATGGGCTTACCCCGAACTAGGGAATAGGCTTCCATTGGTCATTGAAGAACGGGCCTCAGCGTACCTTCATGGCAAGTGCATTTTAAACAGGCCAACAATCAGTGGGTGTTTTGGCTGACTCGAGTCAGTGCGATATCAGGCCAGGCTGATCAGTTGGCAAGATGTTGTGGTTCTAGTTCTTTCTGAATCAGCATTGTCACCGACCCTGGTTCAGAGGTCAAGATTAGCAGGGGTTTAACTCTATCAAACATTGTTCGGACCTTGTTTTTCTTGCAACAGCGAACATAGTGATTAGGAAAGAAGCACGTCACGTCATGACTATGAACATGTCATTCAAGCATGTTGTTTTGTCCGTCCCGATAGCTCAGTTGTTTAAAGCACCGACCTTCGAGCCACTCTCCCGTGGCGGGGTGTAGTTCTAGGCGCTTTAGGCGATTTTTATTTGTCCTTAAGGAGAATATTTCACGTTTAAAGCTATTGAAGTAAGCATCAGATATGATGAAACAAGCTCATTGATAACTATAGGCATGCTTTTTAAGTGGAAGACTGCTCCAGATAACGCAATACTCTGTTAGCAAATATGCCCTTCAATGCGGCATGGATCCATGACGTCATCGTACCTTGCACAACATTGGTTGAGAGCCAGTTAACGTCCGTCCTATCTGGAAATGGCGCTCACAAACGCCAGATATGAACGCCATAATAATTATATTTTCTTGGCCTTGATCGCCGCACGGCTTATGGAATGGCAGGATCTGAATGACGTTTTTATGACGCTATGAATGCCAAGGCGACTTTGAAATACTTTCCCCCGATATACCTTCCCCGATTTTCGCGGGCGTTTAGCTCAGAAACTGGAGTGGCTTAGGTCTTAAAGGGTCAGGATTGCGAACAGCACCAGAAGGTCTTAAAGTTGGCTATTTCAGCTCATAACCCCGTGTTAATGTGGAACATTCCTTTAACAGATGTGTCCTGCGGCCCCTGGCAGTGGCCGCGCTAAAGGTCAAGTGATGTCAGAGGGCAGGACGGATCGTGACGAGGATTGTGGCACGTGCAACTTTTGCCACCGAATCTGCCGTTGACGAGGCATTGCACGATCGAATGGCATGGGAGCAGAGGTCACAGATCAAGCAATGTCTTGTGTGAGTGATGTAACGCCACGGTCTTAATTACTGTAAGTTCAATCAGGATGATCAGCATGCGGTGCTATGAGTGATTACAGAAACCCACGGAAAATGCACGAACTTGACTGAGTATCGACCTACTATAAATTATGTTCCCCGAGAAAAAAGTAACACTGGCCAATGCCGGTCACTCCCGTTTCCTGAAACGATAGGTTCGGCCAGAGTAAACTGGAGAAGTAACCAATTCTGGTGTTGAGCATCATTCATTGTGAAAGGCAGGGCCAAACTGGTTATCGAATCTTTGGACACTGGAGAGAAGAGTTACTGACACTTGTCAATGAAAATTCTCAGTGCAGTTACCTCGTCATGATCGGTGTAACGGTATGCAACATCTGGTGTGCTACTTCCATTTTACGTACGGCACCGGGATTCGTCTTTATTTCGGAATGGTTCAGCAATAAGTTTGCTAAAATGTCGTGCATGGGCAACTGATGTAACGCACGTGGCAGATAGAAACGTGCTTCATTATTTTAACAAAGGGAACGCAAAGGCTGGAAATTTACAAGCTCACCGAATATTAAAAGGGAAATGGCCATCTTGCAGATCATTCGGTGTAGTTTACAGCCCTGCCCTTGTTGAGGCTTGAATCCTTCTAGTTTCTGAGCCACACGCCCGCGAAGAAACTCTGAAGGGAACAGGTGATGGCGGTGACCGGATTTAGAACCGTTGCGTGCAGCCGCCCACGTGCGCTTCCGCAAATCACGCAGTTGCTAGCTTCGTTCCATTGTCCAGGACTGATGTTGGACAACATTCAACTAAAAAACAATCCGTAGCAGATGTCATTTTGCTTCGTGTATCTTTAGGTCAGTGTAATTGTTTGTTTGTTTTTGTTTCCAGAAGCCAATGTAGCAAGGTCGATACCTCCCGAAACAGACCAGGTATTGGGTGAGCAATATCATCCAGAATATGTGGGGAGTTTCACACGGGTTTGCTTCCTCGCTTCATAACAGGAAAATTAACAATCAATTAAAATATGTTTTGTTGGCCCAGTCCATTTACAAAGCGCTGGTAACACACCTCTGACGGGCTAATCGTCGTTATGTGGTGTAACTTATGCGATCCATCCTGACACTGAATCGAATAACTTCTGTTTTCAGCCCTGGAGAGGAAGGTCGCCGACATGTTGGGTTTTGAGTCGGCGCTATATGTGCCCTCGGGCACCATGGCTAATCTCATATCCAGTGAGTACGAATGATATGATATAGTACAATGTAGTAATCGCAACATAATAATACAACTTGACTAATAGACATAATATATTAATGATAAAATGATAACAAGTGTGCACCAATCTGATATCCAGCAAATGAGTAGTGAAGTGAGCACCGGTAGGCGCCATCTTACGCTGTCTCACTGAAAAGCCAATGGAGGGTGTTTTTTTTGTTTAGTTATGATTGTTGACTTTGTGATGGTATGGCACGCACGTCAAGAAAGTCGTCATGCGCTGACAGCGTGCTATTGTATGCGGATATCGCCCGTTATCACATATAGCTGTATTGCATTATATCTTATTCCGAAGCCTCAGCCCACGTTACGCTATCTAAAAATGGACGAAAAGCCAAATGGTCGCCGTGGACCGCTGGCAGCGCGTCATATAGCTGCAACACACACACACACACACACACACACACACACACACACACACACACACACACACACACACACACACACACACACACACACACACACACACACACACACACACACACACACACACACACACACACACACACACACACACACACACACACACACAAACACACACACACACACACACACACACACACACACACCACACACACACACACACACACACACACACACACACACACACACGCACACGCACACGCACACGCACGCGCACGCACACGCACACGCACACGCACACGCACACGCACACGCGCACGAGCACATACACACACGCACACGCACATGCACACGCACGCGCGCGCGCACGTACACGCACACGCGCACGCGCACGCGCACAACACACACACACACACACACACACACACACATACACGCACACGCACACGCGCACGAGCACATACACACAAGCACACGCACACGCACGCGCGCGCGCACGTACACGCACACGCGCACAAACACAAACACAGCACGCACACACACGCTGCAACATACACGGCGAACAATAATTTGACGTCGCGGGGCAGACTACTTCGAGATTTTGTTGCTGACAGGATATCCTAAACATATGTGATCGAAGCCAACTATGAAACTGTGGCCGGCTTGACGTCCAATAACTGCACCGTATTCTGACCGACACGAAATTCGTAAGCTGAGGCCCATTTGTGACTGACGCTTCAATTGGTAACTACACCCACAATTTGTGACTGGAGCGAGATCCCATTGATATGCTTCCTTGTGCTACACGGTTGAGGTAAGCTCTATAGCCACGCCTCTTTTTCTTAGGCTGTCCCACCCGAGTAAGACATCACATGGTCATTCAAAGAGATGAAAATAGACGCCGTTTTCCTGTGCTCATCTTTCGGTGTCAGAAATGTCCTTCTGTCTTGAATAGAGCACAGACGTATCCAGACATCTGCACCAATGTGTAGTGCCTCCTCGTCCAGCTCCACGTCCGCTCATGCCCCAGCTGAACGAGCTAAACACAACAGCTTGATAGAGATCTAACCACCTCTGCCCTCGGTCGACACTCGAGTCGTCCCGGCCGTCCCAGCGCACTCTACCCCCGCTAGTGACCTGCGCTCTAGCGGCCGCCCATTGGCTTAGCTTGGCCATGATCCCCTGCAGCACGCTGCGCTGCCGAACACACCCGCAGACTCCGATCGCGTGTCGCGGAACACGGTACAGCCTCCGAACTGCCGAACACACCCGCAGACTCCGATCTCGTGTCGCGGAGCACGGTACAGCCTCCGAACTGCCGAACACACCCGCAGACTCCGATCGTGTGTCGTGGAACACGGTACAGCCTCCGAACCGCCGAACACACCCGCAGACTCCGATCGTGTGTCGTGGAACACGGTACAGCCTCCGAACTCCGTAGTCTCAGGCACTATGCAATGCCTTAAGTAATGCAGTCGAGAAATTTGCATTCTAGTTGACGGTTCCGCAGTATCAGCATTTGGCACACTTAAAAGTAGGGCAGTCACTTCATTGTATTCGTCCACAAATTATCTCTCACAATAGTCACTATTCTATTCACTCTTTCAATGTGACTTCTTCTGATAGCGTTGCGCGTATAAACTTTTTGTTTTTTCGTGATCTAGGTCTGTTGCATCGGTTTTCCCCTGACATGGGTCTCTGTGTCGTTTCCGTCCATTGTCACGTTTGTTATTCCATGAACCTGGGCCTGAGTCTGTGCGCCGTCTCTGTCCACAGTAATGTGTCACTGCACGGCCAGAGACAGCGAGATCATCGTGGGAGACAAGTGTCACATCCATCTGTATGAGCAGGGCGGCTGCGCCACTGTTGCCGGTAATGTCTGCGCATGAACATCGTTGTCGTCCCCCCCCCCCCCCTCACTTCCCCGCCCCGCTTATAACTGCTCCTGCAGCAGCTGCTGGCGCTGCACCACTCGCAGCGGCGAGCAAAGGAGACCACTGTACCGAACTGGGAAGGACACCAGTTCTTGGTCCCCAGCATTACAGTAATGCTCACAACGAAGACGCCGTAGATGGACAATAACAAGATGCGATTTAGGTGGGACTTGTAAACATTAATGTATCGTTCTTAACAGACCCCTGCCATATTGATGCCACAATTGAACTTTTTCGAGCCGCACTCTATACAAACCATATTATTACTGCGCCTGGTTTGCATCTCTTTGTGTCCACTGTCGCGTTGAATTTCTCCGCTGTCAATTGTTTTGTTCTATGTGGTGTCTGCTTCCCACTGTCGTATCATCTCCCTTATTGCCTCTCCAACAAGTGGCATATTTCTACCGACCAGGAAGCCGTCACCTGTCACGTGATTCAACTATGAACCATGCGTTTCTCCACCTTGAGTTGTTTTGTGGATTCCCTCCGGTCAGATGTCATGCGCAGAAGCTCTACCCGAGAATGGATCCCTCTGAGTGACCCTCCCTGTCGTTCATTGCAATAAGCAGTCTTGCCCTTTGCTCTAACTGCAGCGTCGCATAAGGGCCTTGCCCTTGTTACTGAGAACACTCCATTTTATCCCCCTGCTCCCCCCTTTCGCTTCCCCGCAGTTCTGCTTCTTTTTGCGTCTTCAAAGCTCCATCTTCTCTATTCCATCTCTCCCATGCTAAGAAATATACCATTGAAAGATTTTCACGGCTGGTTTTGTGTTCACAGCACTTGTGCTAAGCGGAGCTTGTGACATATCTGCCAATGCCGGGGCCCAAGATATGCTCATCTAGCTCATGGGCATCTTTTGCCATGACTTTGCCCAATGTTCCTTTGTTACGTACGGGGGCTACGTACCCTTCATTGCTCCAACATGGCCACAGGGGCAAGTTGGCCCCGTTGGCCCGTTGCCAGAAGACTTCTTCGACAGTCGGGCAAAGCGGCGTGCCCACCGCGACGCTCGTATCCATTATCACGCCAGTTTCAGGCACCCCTTCCTTCGACGTGCGCCCAAAACAGGCCGCCAGTCCGCGTGCCCCGCGCCCGGTGCCTCATCAGGCACCGCCCGCCCGGCGCCCGGTGCCTCTGTATTGTGAGGTCATCACCGCTCCACAGGACTTCAGGGTCCACAGACGTCCCGCACGTCAACAATGTTGGCGCTGCACAGCTGGTCTGCTTCCAGATTATAGTAGCATATACAGACTGAACAAGTTGAGATGGTCCAGTGCTCTTAACTAGCACAACGCTGTGCATCATTATACTTAAATTTGTTTTTCTTAAAGATTCAGTCGACGTTTTTGGATCGGCTGGCTTTATTGGATCAGCATTTAGGCTAAACAGTCAGCGCGACCTCTGCCGCTCCGATCCAGGCAGGAACTTCCCAATCGACGGCAGAATCTTGCGACGAGAAATTAACATGCCGTAAATGAAAGCAATGCTCGACACGTCCCGTCCTGCCCTCTAAGGTCAGCTGACATTTGATGCAGCTGCTGCCACCGGCCGCAGGCCATTCCAGTCATGGCCAAATAACGAGCGCCTTAAAGGGAATATACCACATTGGAAGGCGTTGAAGCCAGCATCATATATAACCAAATAAGCTCACTTATGACTATTGGTGCTTTTAAGCGGAAAAAACTGTTTTAAACAACACGGCTTCTCTGTTTAGTTAATGTGCTCCTCAACATGCCATTGTTTGAATACGTCATCGTACCTTGCAAAACAAGGATTGAGAGCCAATTGACGGCTGTCAGCACGTGCCCGGGTGGCCGGTTCGGTACCCTTCGTTCGGGTGGGGGTCAATTAGACCCCCTGGAATCTAAGAAATTAGGAGAGCTGGAGGCACCAAATCCACAAAGTACATTGCCTTATACGTGAGTTCACTTGGGTCAAAGTTTGAGGTTTCTAATTCATGACATTTGGGTCACCTAAGGTAAAAAAACGTCGAACTCCAGGTTGGTGTCCAAAGTGCACCCAGAACATAGATACCTGTTCTAAGCAAAATGTCATACGCTAATTTCAAGTCAGTAACCTCATTTTACATTTCCAAGGTCATGGGGACCAGATTCATACAAAACGGCTTCGAGTTTGTCATTGAATAAGTGGCAAATATTACGCTAGGCAGTATGCTCCTAAAAACAAGATGTTGAGAAGGTCATTTTAAGTCAGTGGCCTATTTTGTCCTTAAAATAGTTAATGAAATATGTATAATGCAGTTCCTGTAATAAATAAATTTGGAATGAGTAACAGAGATTACCGCACACAACAAGCCCTACAGTAATAAAACAGCTTGGTTTTGACCTTGGTCTGACCTTTCTACCTGACCATATAGGGCGATGGAATTGGCTCTTTTAGTTGTTGTGTTGCTTACGTAAGTATCTCAGAGCAATGCGTGGCTTCGTCTAACTCCGTTGCTGCATCAGGTTGAAAGATTCGACTCAGCTAAGTCGATGGCCTGACTTTGATCTGCTGTAGGTCACTGATCTCACAAGGTGCATTTAAATTTTGGCACCAAACGACGCGCTATTCATTTTTCTACGGCTATGTAAAATTGCACGTGGCTACGCCACGCCATATTCGGAATCCATTCCGGAAACATCTTACGGGGGGGGGGGGGTCAAATCGACCCTCACCCGAGCGCGTGTTGATATCAAAATCGTGCTCACGAACACGAGATATGAACGACTCGACAGTTATATTTATCCTGGCCTTAATCGCTGCATCGCAAATGGAATGCCAGGATTGGAATGACGTTATGGCGTTATATATGCTTGGGTGACGTTGAAATAGTATCGAGGGAATAGTCTGCACATCTTCGCGGTCGCTTAACTCATAAACCAGAGGAGGTTAGGCATTAAAAAGGACAGTGCCATGAACTGCACCGTATGATCTTCAAGGTGGCTTTTTTAGTTCAAAACCCCATACAAATGTGGACCACTTAGCTGAAAGAGAATTAAACCCACCCCACCACGGTGGGCGAATCGGAAGGCAAATGTTCTAACCAAGCGAGCTCTGGGGATGGAGGCGTGCAGTTACATTCCAGGTTGAGCCCAGTCCGCCAAGAATGCATAACTATTCAGCTGAACACTTCTGCTGACGTTTATAGCAGGCGATTCTTCATTAGTTGGTTAGCACCTGTCTCTTGTCTGAAAGGCAATGGCCAGAGCATCGTCACCGATGCCCAGATCCACGATCAAACCTATCCTTTACGTTTGCCGATCCGCTGTTCCTTCATCGCCTCTCGCATCGCACTGCCGCGCAAGAGCTCCCAGCAGAAGCGCTTTTTACACAGGAACATATCGACAAATGGAATAGCTTCCCTAGTCACAAACCACGTATAGAGTGGGAGATTCTCACATCACTTTTTTCGTTTATTTTTTTTACGAACTTTTGCGCGTCGCTCTTCAGCTCCCGCATAATTCATCAGATTGCCTTGCGCCAACAAAACAACAGACCCGCCATCTTGTGCGAGCCCTGTTGCGGAGACTTCGAGTAACTTTTTCAGGAGTTTCGGCTTTTCATTCAGAAATGTCAGAATTTCACAACAGAATGACGATTTTTTTGTCTACTCACCACGCGTGAAGCTTAGAAAGTAGTGGACCGTGACGACGATGTCATCTGCTATCTAGGAAACAACTTCTTTGGTAACTGAAGGGCATGGACACAATAGCGCAGGACGCTTCTGACCCACAGGAAAGATGACTCAAAGGTAAATGAAGACTTGAAGTTGGACAGTTAAAGTTGGACACTAAACCTTCAAACTTTGTATCGTGACCGTCATTTCACGTTTTGAAAAGGTCACAAAATGCGACCCGTGCGATCCGCTGTTAACACCACTGGTGTCGCCGCAGGGGTGCACCCGCGAGTGATGCCTAACCGACCCGACGGCACCATCGACCCGGACCTGCTGCGCGCCAAGGTGCGCTCCGAGGACGTCCACTACCCGGTCACGAAGCTCATCTGCCTGGAGAACACGCACAACTACTGCGGCGGCAAGGTGCTACCGCTGGACTACCTGGATCAGGTCCGTTGTCGTCCACATCCGCTGAGGTTTCATGTAGGGGAGAGTTGCGAGCGATGCAAAGAAGCTGGCTTCGCGGGTGTACGGACTAAGACGTGGCCTGTCGTAATTTGTTGCTTAAAACAAGTATATAGCTAAAGCAGATAGTTAAAAGTTTAAGGACAGATAAATAGAGAATTGAAAATGATCACATGTATTAAAAAGTCGAAATAAAGAAACCTGTAACTTAATACAAATGAATAGAAACATATATATATATATATATATATATATATATATACGTGTGTGTGTGTGTGTGTGTGTGTGTGTGTGTGTGTGTGTGTGTGTGTGTAATAGATATATAATTTTTGGAGAAAATCAATAAACCTTACTTCTTTTTAAGCTTAGACTCGATTATTCAATTTCTCGAAGGCGAGTAAGGCTTCTCTTCCGGAGACTTCTCAATGAATGAGGCGTGTGTTGCAGGTGGTGGCTCTGGCGAAGGAGGTGGGAGTACCTCTGCACATGGACGGCGCCCGACTACCCAACGCTGCCGCCGCACTGGGTGAGACCACTGTGATATACGCAATGCCACACATAGTCCTTCATTACGCGGTAATGCGAAACACACGGGGTGGTATCGATATGGTGTTGTTTTCTCCACGACCTCGAACATCGATTCTTTCTTTCTTTTTTCATCGATTCGTCCACGATTGATCGCGAGGTGACTGTATCATGCCACTTACTTGGTCACGTAGCAGCATATGTCGTACCATATGCTTACTGAAATGTTCACTCAACGTATACGCGCAGGCTCGAACGGGGGCAATTCGGGAGAACGTCCTAAAATGCGGGAGAACCAAATCCCGCTTCTAGGTCAGCTCTTGGCATGTGCGACCGTGCTTTAAAGCTGCCCGGAGAAATATTGGCACCAATCTTCCTAGGTTTTCCTGTTCGGATCCCCATACATGGATGCAAGGGCACCGCCATGGATTTGGGGCTTGGAGGGCAAGATTTTCTAGGCGGACGTCATGGACAATAAGGACCTCCTCACAGGGGAAGAGGAGCCCTTGAGCGGTGTCGTATTCAAAGGAAAGAAACACCAAGGCATGAACCCCCTTATAAAATTGTCGCGTGTATCATATCCAAGTGTATAAATGTCGACAATAAACAATTCAGAATGGGGCGTTCTAATCATCCAGAATGCCGGAGTTTTTCTTTTCCAGCCCAAGGTATTGTTTTCCTAAAATGGGGGTTCCTGAAAACAGGGCCAGAAAAGGGCCCTCTGATACATGGAGAACATTATAATCCAGAAGAGAAAGTTTCTGATTCACGAAGGGTGGGGGGGGGGGGGAGAGGCCTCCAAATCTGATTAAGAGGCCTCATTGTCCCAAAACGGGCATCCTGATCCAGACACACGGCATGATGCACGAAAGGGGTCTCCTGCTCCATAAATGGAACCTCCTGCATATAAAGGGTGCCTCCGGACCCAGAACAGGGCCTTCTAGTTCGCAACGAGTGCCTCCCAAGCCTGCAAAGAGCTTCCCTTAAGTGAGTGCTCCACATTTGTATGGGGTTTGGACTGAAATAGCCATCTGGAAGATCACTTAGTGCAGCACACAGCCCTGCCCTTCTTAAACCCGAACCGTTCTAGTTTCTGGGCTGCACTCCCGCTATTTCTATTTCAAGGCCAACCAGGCATCTATGATGCCATAATAATGACATTCAAGTCCTGCCGTTCCTTTTCCCACGTGGTGATCAAGACCAAATGTCATTGTCGAGTCGCTCATATCTGGCGTTCGTAGGCACAATTTCCAGATATCACGGCCATCAAGTGGCTCTCAGTGTTATGCAAGGTGCGATGACGTAATCAAACAATGACACATTGAGAAGCATAGTTACTAAACAGAGAAAGAGTGTTGTCAGAGCAGCCTTTTCTACCTCAAACGTATACCAATAGTTATAAGTGAGCTTGTTTCATAATATCTGATGCTTGCCTCATTACATTCACTTTTGGAGCATTCCATTCACTTGTGGAGCATTCCATTCAACACAATATGGGCGCTACTGATGAAGATCATGGCCCATGTTGGTAATATACGGATAGCTACAGTGCCTTTAGTTTGGTGAAAAGGGACTCCCAACATGTTTGAGGGGCAAAACATGTTCTTGCCTCCGCCCCCTGCCAGAAGGCAGGGGGAAGGAACTGCCCCCCCCCCCCTCTGCTCCCCCCCCCCTGCTGACGGCACAATTGCCCCCTCTGCCGGTCCCTGCATGCATGTAAAAAATCCATTTGTTCATCCATTGCATCCCAGTTTTGGGCAAGAAACGCAGTCTTAGATAAAGCTGTTCCCATCAGTTTCCGTCTCTGCCGCCAGGTGTGCCGATGTCGCGGATTCTCCGCGGATTTGCTTCCAGCACGCTGTGCCTGAGCAAGTCGCTGTCGGCTCCGGTGGGCTCGCTGATCGTCGGCTCAGCGCAGTTCATCAAGCAGTGAGGGCCAGAGGATGAGCTGGTGTTGTTGAGAGCGGTGGAAGCCCGAAACACGTCACTGCAAGCTCAGCAACCAAACCGCGCTTCAGCTCTCCCGCCGAGATAACACGTCGCTGCACGCTCAGCAACCAAACCGCACTTCAGCTCTCCCGCCGAGATAACTTGTCGCTGCACGCTCAGCAACCAAACCGCGCTTCAGCTCTCCCGCCGAGATAACACGTCGCTGCACGCTCAGCAACCAAACCGCGCTTCAGCTCTCCCGCCGAGATAAAGTGCCTAACTTTATGATCAGCCACACAAACGGAGCAGTGGTGCAGCACGGATCGGGCTCTAGATGCATCATGGTAGAGTCCTGGTGCAGAACATCACAAAACATAGCATAAATCATAGTGTTACCTGACCCATGACTCCGCGAGTGACTCGACCCGTGACTGCGCGTGTGGCCTAACCCGTAACCCCGCGAATGACCCGACCCATGACCGCGCGTGTGCCTTAGCCCATAACCTCTTGTGTGACCTGACCCATGACCCTGACTATGACCTGACCGTTGACCTCGCCTGTGACCGGTCAGGGCGCGCCGAACCCGGAAGGTGCTGGGCGGTGGTATGCGCCAGGTGGGCGTGCTGGCCGCCGCTGGTCTTCTGGCCGTGGACGTCATGTGTGACCGGCTGGTTGACGACCACCAGCGGGCCCGGAGGCTGGCCGAAGGTGAGGACCACCCGCCGGCAGGCGCAGAGGGCACAGGTCACTAACTTGAGAGCTCTGAGATGGAGAGCAGCCACCTCTTCTCGAGGTATCCTTACATGAAGCTCGAGTGAAGAAACCTATCCAATAGATTATCCGATGCGGAATAAATTTGAAATTGCCATTTTGGGACCATGTGCTAATGTTTAAGGTTTTATACGTGATGGCTACGTATCTATGATGTTTGCCTAACTCTAGTCGACCTCTGCCGTACACTAGCTAAAGGACCGATCTTCGGTTACCACACGCTCGAGTGACCGGTTGAATGCGACTCGTTGGAGTGGGCTGGGGCCACTGAGATCTCAAAAACTAGCAGAGCTGGACACCAAATTCACATTGCAAGTAGTTCTCTATTTGAACTTGTTTGTGCTATTTTTATGTCTCTAGGTTATGACCTTCGGGTCAGATAAGGTCAATCAAGGGCAAACTAGAGCTCGGTGCCTGAAGCTTCCTCAGACCTGCTCAAGCCACCAGCTTTAACTTGATGCTTCACGTAAGCAAAGGATCACTTTGAGTCATGTCAAGCCAGTGATTTCATGTGGCCTTCAAAGTTCAAAATGACCAAAAACCTTTGATATTATGTTCCCATTCTTATTAGGACTTAGCGTCAAGAACTACACCTTCAGCATGCTTCTCGACATAAAAGGTAAATCGAGATAATTTTATGTCAGTGACCTCCAATGGCTTTCATGGAAATCAAATGTGAAGTCCTTTGTCATCGTTGTGGTTAAGAACATAAAAGAGAGCGTCAAAATCCACCTCGTAAATCAAGTTTTCCAGTGGAAACTCTAAACGGGCTTAATCTTGTCCTCATCTTTATATCACGCCCAAGGTCAGCAGAATTAGTTGCAATAACGGTTAAAATCCTCGTATGGTCGAGGCAACCATTCCAAGGCTACATATGGCATTGTGTAACACACCATCGTCTCATCAGCGTGAAAATTGTCCAAGATGTACCTTGACTGACAGTCGTGAGCTGAATGTGGCGTCCTACAGGTCAGCGATCTTAAGAGGAGCTGGCGATTGTCTACGCTTGCCAGCTCGGTTCCGCGGGTTACGCCCCGTCTGCTCGGTGTCCGCAGCCATCAACAGCTGCGGGAAGCCCGGCGCCTCCGTGGACCTGGAGAACCTGCACAGCAACATTCTGCTGCTGGACCTGGACCCGAACGTTATGCTGCCCGACCAGTTCTGCCAGAGGATGCAGGAGGTCAGGTCACGCAGCAGGCAGAGGCCACGCAGAGGTCAGGTCTCGCGGCCGGTCGGCGTGTCTCGGGGACCATGATATGCGCCATGATGTGATGCGTCTTGGTTGTGCTAAACTAACGACAGTCGATCATACATCTTCAGAGATCAATGCTGAGTGCAGGGTACTTGTCTGTCGCGATGGTAGCTTGACAATGCGCCGGTTGTTATGCCTTCGTTGCAGAAATGCCTCTCATATGCCTTTGCAGCGTGTTGAGGACCCTTGTTCTCAGCACGGACATTTACAACATTAGCTTATGAGCGTGTGAGAATGTGATGTTGCCTTTGTCGTTTTAGGTAGTAAACGCACACAATTTAGTCGATGGAGAATACATCGTAGGAGATTGTAGATGCGTTTGCTGCATGACTCTGTGCATGCAACCCCTTCGGAGCTGGATACCTGCTGCACCTGTGTAAACTCTCCTCTGGTCGGACGCTGACCCAACGGACCGCTGTTGTGCAGGCGCCGCCGGAGGAGATCCAGGCGCTGGGGGAGCCGGTGGCGGTGCACATGTTCCCCATGTCCTCCTCCAACGTGCGCATGGTGCTGCACGCCGACGTAAGCGACGCAGACGTGACGAAAGTGGCGCAGAAGCTGGTGTTCGTCATCCGAGGTCTGAGTGGGAGCCGCCAGACGCCGACGGGCACGCGCCTGCAGCGGGGCGTCAGTGTCATCGTGGAGTAGCCGCGGCCCGCAGTAGAGGCCTCCGTAGTGGATAGCTGTGCACGGAATGCGTGATGGACGCCATAGACCTGACGGATACACTCAAGTGATCACTGGCCAACATATATCACATCCGAAATGGCTCAAACGACCGAACTTAACCCAAATGTCAATTTCATGGATGAGATGTAATAAAAAATGAACGGAATTTACCGGCAAATGTGATATGCAACTCAATGAAACGACTGGTATCGACAACTCTGCGACTTTGACTTAAGCTTTAGTTAGAGTCGCAAAGCAAACCACAGCTAAAAAAGCGGGAAACAAGGTATAGCTGCTCATGGTGAAACGAAGAATGCAAAGACGCCTGTCGAAATCGCACAATGACACTTGGACGATTTACACGCAGTCGACAGACTGTCCATCTAATGGAATACAAACAACTTAAAGCAGAGGCTGGGCAGGTCATTCGTGACGCCAAAAGGAGCTCGTGGGAACAACTTTTGCATATGCTCAACCAAACCCCTCCCGTACAACAGCTGTTGGATATCATCAGCGTTGAAAAAGTTTCCCATTTACAGGATATGATTGGCGACAAAAAGGGGAGCTTTTTCGGGCTACTTGGTAACGAGCTAGCGAAAATGACAACACAGTTCAATGACCCTCTCAGTTAGACGATACCTTCAGCTTAGAATTGGCGTGTCCTTGACAACGCTTGCAGCGTGAGCTTGTGTAGAACACATGGAAACATCGACGTTTCGCTGTATGAGCCCGTTGAGCCACAAAATGACACCAAAGGGTAGCTTTAATCAGGATAGCTTTTAGGAGTTCAGGACAGGGTTCAAGGACCTTGCCAGAAATATACTACAAATTATGCTATATCAGGGCTGACACCACAGATCCGGAAACAGTGCTCTTCAAATCACTTTCAGATCAGTGCTTTCCACATATGTTTTCAGCCAAGGTTCACTTCACATCCTAAGCCGTATAAAATGCCAAAATAACTAGACTCATTACTAGTCGCAAGAATCGTGGCTGGCCCCAACACCTTGCGACGAACGGGATCAATCTGCTGCACACCCTGTATTCTTATTAACATCAAGTTCATTTTGTACGAAATAAAATCCCGTAAGTGCCTCATGCTTTTGGCACTGATTAGTTTTATGAAGCGCGTCGGCTACCTAGGCCATCTTGTCACGTTTTTAATGTGCCAACTCCATTATTTACTTGGCCAGTCTGCAAATGCGAGAAGATTTTCACCAGATAACACAGGTGGATCGAGACAGCAATGTACGCCACATGGCAAAATGGCCTAAGTAGCCGACGCACTTCATAAAATGACAGCAAAGCGGTGGAGAGGTTTTTATGTGTGGATTAAACCCCTTGAGAGCTCTTTCTCCAACGCAGGTATTGCCCCAATATGTCGCAGATGGTGCATGGGTTTAGTTACGTACCATTTATGGCTGTGATGTAGCCGCTGACCAAACAAGTTCTCAGCTTTCTCCGCTTATGCGACGACTTACGATTTAACCGAACCAATGTGCTCATCGGCCTTAAGTCCGCTGCGCAAGCCATTCACGCACCAAGACCTACGCCTTAACCACCGGGGTTTTGGCACGACCAGCAAATGATTCTTTCGTGCGAATGAACCTTCCGAAATGTTTGATGATGTTTACGACTCATTGGACTTCATTTACCTTTGTTTGGTAGGATTTATCACATTTATAGCCATATGGCGACTGCTTCTGATAGATTTGACTCCTGGTGACAATTTTGGGCACACCTGCTGCTGCCTCCACCTTCACATATTATCCGGCACAAGTCAACCGCGGGAAAGCACATGACCTGGGTGTCCCTCTCAGCACGCTTCTTATGTTCTTACCCATGTTTCGTTGGTCGTTGAGGGTTTCGGGCGTCCTCCGTGCGCATGGCGACGCCAGCGTCAATTACAGTCACCATCAACATCATGTCCGGGTAGCAGGCGTTTTCTTATGGTGTGTGCGTGCTGATGTAATGCATGCGGTCCGACCAGGCGCCACCGTCGGCCGCCCGCCGTCACCACCGCGTTCTCCCCGGCTGTCACATGTGGAGGCGATGGACCCTCCGTCTGGCAGATCGCAGCGTCCGGCGCGCGCCCGCCGGGGCTTGGTGGCGAATCCCTCGCGTCTATCCACGTATTTACGGTTCATTTACGACTGACAGTAGAGCGATACGCTGTGTTTAAATCGCAGACATCCTGCCACGCTGGTGTTGATTGGACGCATCAGCACGGTTCCAGAGAAGACCGCTGCGATAAAAGGCACTTGAACGACGACGTCCGTGTCTTTTGCCATTTGAAGTGAAGCGCCACGACGGTATCCTGCAGAACCTCCCAGTCCCGCAGATACAACACGCATGGTTTATTGACATGACATAAAACATGTTCACTTCTCCACTGGGTAGTACGCGGTCGCTCTGTACACGCACACATGTAGATATATAAACAAAATGAGTGGACTGCTGGGCGGATGCGACCCGCGGCGTGCGCGCGCGCGTGTGTGTACCTCAGCACGCTGGGCACACCCCCGTCGAGCGCGTCCACTCGTGCCGACCCGCCGCCGCGGGGACACCCGCCGGACAGGGGGAGGCCGGGGCGGCGGAACGTGCGGTGAACCGCTGCTGGTGCGCTGGAGCGTGAACAGGCACTTGTATTTGTATTGATCGCTGGGCTCTGGATGTGATCAGACTGGGGGGAGGGGCGGGGTCGGAGGTTCGCGGTGCGCGGTCACCGGCGGGCGCGCCCGCCACACATAAACATTTGCCGGCAGACGCGCCGTAAAACAAAACACGAGGCCGCTAAAATCGCCTAAAGCGGATGAGTGGATGCGCGCGACGCCGAGGCTGCGCCGCGCCCGGCGTCGCGCATAAACGAGCTCTACAAAACACACAGACTGGTGGGTGGAGACCGCGCGGCCGGCCGGAGCAGGGCTGGCGGTGGGCCGGGCCGGCTCGGCCAGCGTCGCGGGTCCAGTCGCGCCGCCACCGCCCGCCCCAGGTCAAACGTTTGGCCGGCGCACGTGCAGCAACAGCGGCGGCAGCCCGTCCGTCTGCGCGCGCGCGGGCGCCGCTAAAACACCGCCGCCGGCCGAGAGGGATGCGACGGCTTCGCTCCAATCCGGTCAGCGCGGCGGCAATGTCAGATCGCAGGTATCACAACCGGGCAAGAGCTCGGCCGAGGGCGGCCGTCGCTCCGGCGGCCAGCAGCTCGCGGGGTCAAAGTCGCGGCCGGCGAGGTCATAGTCGTCCGCGCGCGGCGGTCACCTCCCGCGAGTCCATCACGCCTCGAAGCTGCGCGCGCCCCACGCTCGACGCGTCACCGGCGGGAAGTTGCAGTTCCGACGGCCGAGCCTAGATGGGACCACTGACAGCGGCGGTGGTGGCTCCGAGCTCATTCGTGACTCAGGAACGTTCAGGTCTGCCAAAGGAGACGATGTTTCTCATGACGAGACAACACAGCTGGCAGGAGCGTACCTTTCTTACAATGGTGGCATGTTGCTGACACCACTTCATCGGTCATAAATGGGATGGCCAGGACAGTCAAGGCATCATCAAAGGAGCCGCCCACCGCAGCGGTAAAAAGCTAACGCCACATACTATAGATATGCATGTGGTCAACAATGGTTGCAAGTGTTCTCATTTATGAGAGCGTATCACAGCTTCATGCGTAGGATTACATGGCAGCTAAACATAAGTATGCAGGAAGGCTAGGAGGAAACAAAGCAAGCACCAGCAAATGTATTTCATTGGAGGCTTGCTTTGCGTCTATTCCCAATGCTGCAAACGAGCTAAAAAGGAAGGAACAATTAACACGACACTTTAACAAGTTAACACCAACAGAAAACATCAGCATTTCTCACCTCACGTAACTTTCGCTCCAAAGTCAGTTCAAAATTATTCCTCCTTCAAGCATTGGTGCAGGCAGACAAATATATACGGCTCCATTAACAACCAAAGCACTTGTAATTGAAACATAAACGAAATTACGCTACGCGAAATCAGAGGTCATCGTTAACTATTGCCTACAATCTTACCAGTAAACATCGTTATAAAGCATGCTTTGATTCATGCCAAATGAAAAATATATAGGGCAGTTTTGTAGCTCCTAAACCACGTAAAGGAGTTGTTTCCTGCCTTTAGCATTACATCCGATACATGTTCCTCGCTTAAATCCTATCTGATGATCCCTGTTCAGCCTTCCATCACAACGGATGTGGAGAGCCTGGCGTGCGTGGCCGACATTAAATCCAACACAACGCACGAGCTCCTTCACAACACAGACACTTCTTCTTTGGTCCGAGTGTGACGACGGTCTCTAAAACGCCAATCAGTCGCTACCAACAGCGAGTCCAGCCAACCATGGAGGCTGCGCCACGGCCACACAGAGCGCGTGCGGTGCCGCCGGCGAAATACGACTGCGTGACGTCACGGCTGACCTGGTGACGGCACCACGTGGGGCAGCGCGGGGCGCGGCAGCACGCGGCAGGCCAGAGCGGCACCAGCGCCGGTCGGGCCGCTGGCACCAGCGAGACGGACCACGGGTCAGACATGTACGCGAGCGGCGGCGGTGCCGGGCAGCGGGCGGACGGCCGCCGGCGCCGCGCAGCGGAGGGAAACACGGCCTCACGACCGCGACAAAACTGGCGCCCATTACCGACACCATGGTAGTGTAGGGGAGACTGCGTGGCAGGTGATGCGGTGCGGCATGTGATCGGCTCGCTGCTCTTCAACAAACGCAGCGCGGGCCGATCTTCAGGAGCTTTCCACGCTACACGCGAATTTCCGTTGATCTCCAATGAAGAGGTTTCTCTGAGACCGCGAGGGAACTCACTGCGACGCGTGGTCGGGGTCCAAGGTCCATCCTCGGAGGTCCCGTCACGACGTGTCCAGACTCAGCCCCGGCCCGGCATTGGGCAAATTATTTCCAGACATACTGTGGGAGTGAGGGTTCCCAGCAAGCATCACATGCTTACGACCATCGGACACCGTCAGTTCTCGGCTCACAAAACACTCCAATCTTAATTCCATGGCGCGATACGGTGACGACAAATCCCGAGAATCTCCTGATCACGAGCAAACTGTAAATATCGTGTCACAAACACGACGGAATTAATAATCACGCCACCAACCAATGTCAATAGGGCAATAATTGCGGTACAATCACGACGTAACTATTCATTGTTTAGAACTGGTGACTTTCGCTTGTCTGTACTTCCGCGCCATTCTACGGCAAAGCTATAATACGCTGGCGAACAAACTCGTATACCAACGACGATTTCAAGTGAGAAGCAGCGTCGTACCCTCCATCGACACGCCTTTTGTCGCGTTTATACAACAAGCGGCGCCGAAGATTGTAGTGCAAACGAGTTTCCTACTTACATGCATGGATAAATCCGTTAACAGTCGTTAGATATTTAGTGTTAACGCCAGGACATTTCACGAAAATATCTATGCCTCCAAAATGCGCAAACCATCATCTCGCGAGGAAAAACTAACGGAGACATCCTGGAGCAATATAACTGAAATAGTAATGTTAAATGCATGAAGTTGACATGAAGTACAGTATGTAATAAGAGCCTCTCCAACGGGCTGGCGAACATGTTCAGGCATTTCTAGTCAACGGGTCACCCCGCTACAACACCATAATAAGGCAGGGGTGTAGCTCCATACTCAGTTGGCGGGGCTTCAGGACCCCCAGGCTGCACTGTAACTCCTCCTCCCGCCTGACGTCAAAAGGTAAATGGACGGCATCCAAGAAGAGATCGGACTTAGCCAGTGATTTTCGCCAGCCTCAGCCTCCCGAATGTTTGCAGAACTACGCCCCTGCCAGGTGGAGACATATAGAGTTGTCGTTTCGTTACGCCGGGTAGCTGCAGGTTAGACTACGGTTCTGCTAGTCCACCACGTCCGCTCACTGTCCGGTGTACCGCCCGCGGCCTCGCCCGAGCCGAACGCACTGGGTTGGCTCGACTCCGAGTCTGACGCAGAGTCAGCCAGCGCGGCGGCCAAGAACGGGTGCGAGTCGTACGACCGCAGGGAGACTCGCTCGCCGGCACTGGGCGGCGGCCAAGCCAAGGTCACCCACGAGACGACGGGGATCGCACAAGCTCAGCGAGATTGCCACAGAGTCACGTGCTCACCATAAAACAGGCGGACAACAAATTTGATGGCATCACATCGATCACTGGCTTATCACGTATCAATTTGAATTAAGGTCAAGCATGGTGTACGTGAGTATTAGGGGACTTTGCTGCTTTGCTTGCATGATATGACAAACAATGGCTGTCCAAATACATGGCTAAATATACCGTTTTCTTCGCATTTCAACGAGCATATCAACACGGCATCAACGTAAGCTGAATCTGCAAAGCACAACAGACGGGATAACCGCGCATAATCAGAACAGGTCCCTTGCTCGCTTCCCTCATGCGTGTTCGGGCACGGCATATGCGCATGCGCCAGCGGCAGCCGGGAGAACATGCAGCGCGGGGACGCCCGGTACAAAGCAGAACAGGCGGGCCAGGCCGGTAGAAAATGCAGCGTGCCGCGCACCTGATCCAGCTCATAAGTGGGCGGGGCTGACGGAACGTGAAGTTTGCCGGGCCAACAATAGATGGCTCTGGTCGGGATTTCCGGCCAAGCGCCGCAGCATGGCGTTCCAGTTGGTTCTTGCCTGTTCCCCGGCCACACTGAGAGATAACAGACCCCTCTACAGTCGGCAGCGGTGCAACCAGGCGACTCGGCCGCCGGCGCTACAGCGCGAGCTACGCGAGCCGGCGCCACAGCGCGAGCTACGCGAGCCAGCGCCGAGGCGCGAGCTCAACGCTCAGAGGACCAATTTTGTTTGGCAGCGCTCTTCAAGAGAAAAGGGGCAATTTACGCGGCGTGAACCTTACAAAGAAGTCTTCATGAGACATTCAACAGCTGCAGGCTCTCGGCGCCAAATCACGGGCGAGTCGCCCCTCGACGAATTTTGTCCACCAACCACACCACGGCGCGGTAACAGACAATCCGTCTTTCCTCAGGAGAGAAACGTGAGAAGTGGCCCTCTAGCCCCGGGTAACAGATGTCGGCTCGGGGCGTCACGGCGGCGTCACGGGCGACACAGGCGCGGCGCGGCTCTACCCACCCGGGTCCAGGGTAGAAGTAGGGCGGCGGCCGGTCATAGCTGGCGGCGCTGGGGTTGTCCGTGTATCCTGGCGGCCCCCCGTTCAGGTCCCACCTGGCCGACACAGGACGGCGGGTCAGAGGAACGTCAGGCCGCACCACCAACGGCGTGCCGCTCGCCGGCAGTGAGCTGTCGCCCAGTCAGCGTAACGGCAGTGCTGCCACAACAGGTCGCGCGTACAGGCACCCTGTCCTTATTATATGCTCGATCTATCGGGAGGTAGGAGCTTGGGAAGGCTCAACCACCATGACGCCGGCCGCGAATGGCAGCCTACATGGAAATCGCCCCTGGAGCAGGCCAATGGATGTTTAAGCATGTCAACTGCCTCAAGAGCACGCACACATCCTTCCCCCGAGTTAGTAGATTCGCATGCAGCCTGATGTCGGATTTGGCCCGGATGTGAGCCGAATGTGCGCCGGATGTGGGTCGGATGTACGTACAGTGGCGGCGCCTTGGGCTCCGTGTCCTCGGTGTCTGCGCTGGCACCGAGCGGCCGGAACTGCTGGCCGCGCGGCGGAATGGCTGTGTACGGCGGCGAGTCGGGGCTGTAGCCATGGTAACGGCTGTTCTCGTACATGTTGCCGCGCCGCCGCTCGCCGCCGCCGGCCGCGGCCGCGCCGCGTTTGGCGCCGCGCTGATCACGCACACTGCAACAGGAGCGCGACGTTCAGCGACGCGGCTGACATCTGGCGACGGAGCGGGCAGTCCAGCCTCCCGAGATCGGATCTTGGGAATACGGCGAGAATAGGGAGCGCTGGAAACACTGACAGTTGATTGTGCTTATTTAACCAGATACCCCTCCATTAAAAGTATGTGTGCAACGGGGTCTAGTTCATATCAAAGCAAATTGGGAGTTTGACTTCGCGCCAGATCTGTCGGCATGAGATCGACATCCCATTGCTTGACTGGCATGCAGATAAGCTGGCACCACAATAGTCCGCTTGCACGCAGAACTGTCGGCATTCACAACATGGCGCACAAGTCCAGGCCTCTGGGAGCGGGCTAGTTGAGCGTGGCCAACCGGTTATCCGCCTCAGGCAAGGTTGTTGTTATTGTTTTCGTCACCATCTGTACGCTAGTCAGGCGGGGAACATTGAGTACCGCCTTAGCAGACGGCCATCGTTAAGTACATTGGATTGACATGGCACTAAAAGCAGGGAAGAGTAAGTCACAGCGCAGGCGGGGGAGGGCAAGAGGCGGCCAGGCGGTGAAGCAGCACCCCAACGAGCTCTGTCCTCGGGTGGACACGCAAACCCAACAGTTCACCAGCGCGAGTCCACAGACAACGGTGGCGTGTGGGGAGGGATAGCGAGCAGACACCAGGTGTGAGGCGGGGCAACCAACACTGGCAGATACCTAACGTCGAGAAGGCCCAACAGTCACCCCATACCTGAAACCAGCCGGCAGACGGGCGTCCTAAAACACTGCACCACGACAGACGACCGCCCGCCAAAACATATCCCTGCATCACGACCGACGACCGCCCGCCAAAACATATCCCCGCAACCTCCGCGTGAAGGCAAGAAAAGTGAGAGCATAGGCCAAACACGTCTAACACAAATGGGCTAGCTTCCTCAAATTCATGTTCGACATTCGCTTCGTTGAACCCATGAGGGAAAACGATCGCCGCAAAGCCCGAAGGTTCCCGCGAACAGCCTCCCGAACCTGTTCATTTAAAACACGCAGCGGTCAGCATGCGCAGAGAATAGTCACTACGCCAGCACACAGCTGAAAGCAAAGAGCGGACAGGCAAGCAGGCAGGCAGGCCATGCAGTAGCCCGCGCTGTCTCGAGCGCCCAGGGGTGCACGCCACACCGCCACTTACTTCGCCAGGGGGATATTATCGTGATCGCCATAAGCGTCGTATAAGTATTCGCTGAAAACGGGGATGCGTTAGTGAAGGTGGCGGCCAGTCCAGCACGCGAGCAGGCGTTGGCGGCAGCGAGCGGCGCGCGCAGCAATCGTCGCCATCATTCTCGTGCACCATTGGCCAGGCGGGAGGACAGCGACAGCACAACTGCACGTGGCTGGCTGCTAGCCGCCCGCTCCTGCCCTGCCCTTGGGAATGACTGCGCTAGCTGCGCCACTTTGAACATCACCTCTGCATCCGCCTTTTGAAAGCAGGCCCGAGTCCTTCAGGTGAAACAGTGGTCTTATGAATGTGACATCGTGTTCTACGTTCGCCTTCCAAAGCATTTATTTTTCCTTCCAACATTGTCATGTTGGATAGATCAATACAATGGTAAAACAATTATCAAGTATGGTAATGCATTAAACCTCGATTGTCCCACAAGACGAGCAGGGAACACTTTGTTACCAAATGACGTCTCCATATCCAAGCCACATAGGCTTAATGTACTGTGACCAAATACGCCTGAACTGTCACATTCTGTAAGGAGTGTGACGGCCTATTTGAATACTGAAAGAATGTGACAGTCTATTCCACGCTCGACTTATTTCAGGGTGGATAAAAAAGCAGCAGTGATGATTTAAAAATGGCTTTCAGCAACGACCCCAGGGCGATCTCCCCATCCCAGCACAACATCAAAATACTTCTAATATCCGTGCCCAAGAACCGGCTAAAAAGCAAGCAATTTCAACTACATCTCATTTGGACAGGAGAAGCATGCAAAAACCCTGCCAAAGAAAACGTACAGTTAAGTCATTAATTTTAAGAAACCGGAGACTTGGAACGTGGACTGTCGGGAGAAGCTGAGAAGAGTTTGGCCGTGGGACAACGCAGACTACTGGCAAGCAGCAACCTCTCCGAACCCAGCCACCGAAGAATCGCAAATCATCCACGCCCCGTTTGAAAGCGAGGCCCTCTATTGACCTTTCAAAGAGCGCAGCTGTTTGACACACAAGACAGCCCCGGATCCAAGCATGAGCGAGTAGCGTTGCACCAACTAGCGACGGCAAAGTCAGGATTAATACGGCAGCGCTCAACACAGCCTGTCACCAGCACCGTGCCTCCCTACCGCCACCAGGTGCACACCCATTTGCCGGCTGTCCCGAGACAACACTCACGCCTCTCTCTCTCTCTCTCTCTCTCTCTCTCTCTCTCTCTCTCTCTCTCTCTCTCTCTCTCTCTCTCTCTCTCTCTCTCTCTCTCTCTCTCTCCTCTCTCTCTCTCTCTCTCCTCTCTCCTCTCTCTCTCTCTCTCTCTCTCTCTCTCCCCTCTCCCTCCTCTCTCTCTCCTCTCTCTCCCTCTCTCCCTCTCTCTCCTCTCTCTCTCTCTCTTCCTCTCTCTCTGTGCTCACTTGTCGACGAAGGCCTCCGAGTAGGGCTCCGTCTTGCGGTAGAGCGAAGTCAGGCAGAGGCTGACCATCACGCAGGGGATGAAGAGCAGCACGCACCAGCCCAGGGACGCCCAGTAGCCGTTCTGGACAACGGACATTCGCGTCAGGGAGCTGACACGCCGCTCAGACACAGCGACCACGACATGCGACACAGACCCGGGGATCCGGTCAGAGACGGCCACCACAGCGTTCCGTGAATGATACTAGGCAAACCACGAACTTAAATGGTCAAACATACACGTAGCATTAACATAAACATAGCAAAGTTGAACAGCAAATTACAGTTAAGGGCCAGGCATATCAAACTTAAGCAGCAACCTTCTACTTAGATGGCAGAAATAGCACAATCAGTATAAAGTTACTAAATAAGTAGCAGAGCCAATATTCACACTGAAAACGTCCACCTCGCTCATCTGCATATAGTCAAGGGTGTCATTTCTCTTTCACACGGCTTGCGATGTCAAATATCACGACATCCCACTCAACACCGAAGCCTCCCTGCTGGCTAGCCGCACTCACGAACGGGTAGACGACGTTGCTGCAGAGGGTGACGGACGTGGCGTTGTAGGCCGTGCTGAGCGGGCCGCAGCGGCCCAGCCGGCGTCGGAAGCCGCCCTCCACGCGCGCCGTGAACTCGTCCAGGTGCATGAGGAACTCGGCCGCGTACTCGTCCGCCAGCTGATGACGAGCCGACATCGTCAGTCCCGGGACGGCTGACGCCACCCGCTCAATACGCGCGCACACGATCATCTGCATACTTGGTGTCACCATCTCTGACGGGAGCGACGAAACGTGAGACGGTTTGGCTTCGGGCTGCTTTGAGCATGACTGTCGCCGCCAAATGACCTCTTGTAAATCTTGCGAGCTCACGGAGGTCAGATATGTGACCCCCTGTCGAGAAAGGAATCGCCACAGTCCGCCCGCGGGAGCTCTGCTGAACCAACACGACCCGATCAATGAGGGCACCGGATTGCCTCAGACTAGCAGCTGAATGACCTCGAAGCAACACAGGATTGAATTATATGACCTTTCGGTCATCGAAGCCAGCCTATAGGATTTCGTTACTGTCAGAGATTGAACTACATGACTGTTGAGCCTGGATTTAGATGGCCTGTGAACCACATCAACAGAACTTTATAACTTCGCGCCACCCAACCAAGCTGTACGATCCCCGAGCCGCCTTGAACCGACCTGTGTGACCTGTGAGTCGCCCGATATTGACCTATGTGACTTCTGAGCCGTCCGAAACTGACCTGTATGACTTCTGAGCCGCCGCGCGTGCGCAGGGTACTGCTGCGCCGACTCCGCCTGGTCGATCAGCTCCCGGACGGCCTCCGTCACGTTGGTGCGGTTGAAACGCACGTGCTCCTGCAGCGACACGGTGGCGTTCTGCCCACCGGGAGGGAGAGGTCAGTTTGGCTCAGCAGTCAGAGCCACAAAGTGCGGCAACACGTAAAAAGATAGTGACACGATGTGGATCGGGAGCCTCCACTAACCACGCAGAGTATGGCGGCTTTAGAAACAAGCCGTGGTGGCTTAGAGTTTAAGGGCGCGTCAACTGCAGTCATGCAGCGCCCATACTGCATAAACAAAAACGAACATTGTTGTGCGAGGCTATCATGAAGTGACTGATGCATTATGGACATAGGATGTGTCTAGATCAACGGTTCATCATAAATGTACAAGAACGCTTTGGACAAAGGGACGACCTTCTGGCTACACGATAGATGTATGGAGGCAGTGCTTGAGTAGGCCCTGTTGGCGCATTATCCACAGCATCCTAAACAAAGCTCTCGATGACACCACAGCAACAGTGGTCACCGTATCACTAGCGTCAACGGTCCGTGTCGAGCCCGGCGGTCATCACCAGCGAACACGACTCCAGTCCGGTTCGTTTTCTCGCGGCGGGCCGCGGCTCACCCTCAGCGAGACGACAATGTCGGCCATCTGGTCGACCACCAGTTGCTGGGCGCCCAGGATGGTGGCCTGGTTGCGCAGGCCGGTTGGGCCGCCGAGCGCTCGGCCGGCGGCAGCAGGTTGGCGGCCCGCCTCTAGCGCGGCACCCATCTGACCCAGCTCGACGGCCGTGATGCGGTCCTCCAGCTGCGCGGTCAACGGACGGGAGGGGGTCAGCCAGGGTCAGGGTTACCACCCATGTCAGGAGTTACCATCCACCTGAAATCGCTGCCATGGCCAGGACCCACCGCTCCAGTCATGGGTCACCGGCGAGGTCAGAAGTCACCGCCCTGGTCCGGGGTCACTGCCCAGATCAGGGGATCACCGTCAAGGTCAAAGATCGGCTGAGAAACAGACGGAAGAGGTCCACCCGGGCCCGGGTCAGAACTCGTCGCCACCCAGATCAGGGTTGCCGAAATTTAATAGGCAACTCGCCGCACATCCGACACCGGCCATGCCAACAGCATCGCCAGCTCGGAGATTTCAAATAATAACCAAAATTCAATTCAAAGGCCATCCACCAAGCCCTCCAGGGAGGACACCAGGAATGTCCATCAGCGATACGGGCAAAACGAGTAAAGAATGTCACCAGCTCTCGCTGAGAGAACCGTTGCCGCATGGTCGCCACAGGGTTTCGACCAGCAGCCGGGCGGCGCTCACCGTGAGCGTGAAGGCGGTGTAGTTGATGCGGGCGACGTCGGAGCGCGCCAGCTCGTACAGCTGCTCCTTACCCAGCGGCGTGAGGATCTCGACGTCGGTGTCCACCTGCAGCAGGGCCGGGTCATGCCGGTGAGGGTTCCCTCGCGACAGGGGAGGGGGGGGGGGGGCGTGACTGTCAGCGGCTTCAGCGCCAGTGGACAGGTCAGAGCAGCCCCACCGGTCTGACCAGCCCGGGCGTGAAACTCACGAGACAGGACTAGGTACGACGGATGGTCCCTGTCGTGCACAAGCGTGCGTATAGTCTGAAGCTTTGGGTGGTGGCTCGAGATTTAGGAAAATTTTTGGAAAAAGGCGCTCGCTATTTGCCCTTGACTGGAATAGCCTGCGGCCGGTGGCAGCGGTCGCGCTAAAGGTAAGACGACGTCAGAGCACAGGACAGACCGTGCCGAACGTTGCGGCATGTTATACATTCGGCAACAAACTCTGCCATTTACCTGGAGTTGCACGACCATATGGTAAGGGACAGGAGTCACCCAACGTGCACTGCTCAGACTGAGCTCTGACCTCCCAAATCCACCCATTCGAAAAGTTTGAAATACATCTTTCAACGATTGCAGGCAACATAAAAATTGTCAACCAATGCAACACATTTCACTCCACTAACGCGTGCCAAGTGCGAGGCAACCACTTCACCGCACCAACTAATCTGCGCTCGGCAACTCTGCCTACGCATACAACCAAGGCACTGAAGCCGCCCGGCCTGTGTCTGCCTGCAGAGCCCAGCCGATTCACACCGTCCACTGGTCTGTATCCGACTCTGTGGGAAACGAAGCCCCGTTGCCCGCCAACCTGTATCTGGTTGCGGAGGGCATCCAGCTGCTCGTCGATGCCCAGCTGCTGTTTTGTAGCGGCCCAGCTCGGAGAGGTCGTACAGCGGCTCCAGGTGCAGCACGGTTGTAGATCGACTGGTTCTGGTGACATCTCCTGCACCAACAGTAACCAGTGACGGTCATGAGTGCAGCCAGTTTCCGTCTCCAGATTTTCGCCAGCAGCTCCAAGAACCGTCACGTTGTGGACCCGCATGACTCCTAAGTCCGACGATAACATGTTAAAAAGCCTGCAGGAGCGTCATGGCACGATGACGAAGCACAGATTGACCGCGGCGTGTGTTTTTGAAAGACTCTTTTCCCCTACAGATCATCCTTTGAGCCAGAGGTTTATACTCACTCTTGGCATCACTTAGAAGGTCGAACACACCTACACCGTGTCCCGACCAGCATATCCCCCGCTCCACCTCCGTACCTCTCCACCCCGCCCCTCTGCAGGCAGCCCCATGCCTCCAGCGGGTCGGTGGAGGCATGAAGGGCCCGGCCCTCCCCTGGTCCCCGGCTGCTGACCTGATGACGTCGGCCAGGTCGAAGCCGGTGGCGGCCAGCTGCGGCAGCAGCTCGTCGGCCGGGAAGACGGCCTCGAGCAGCGCCGGCCCGCCGGCGGGCGAGGACGGCTCGGCCAGGCCGGCGCACAGGTAGAACTGGGTCAGGCCTCCCACCAGGAACATGGCCGTCACCAGCAGCAGCACCAGCCAGCCGAACAGGAAGAAGAAGAAGGTGGCGCTGTCGGCGGGCCGTGCACGTCATGTCCGGCCCGGCAAGAACAACCGTCACACGGGTGTCACAGGCTGGAAAGCTTATTCTCGCAACCACCGTCCGTGAGGCGTCACCACTGCCGAAAGGACGCCAGAACAACAGGCTTGAGGTAAACCAGGTGCACGCTGATGTTATGTGTTGTTATGTGTGTGATGATGTTATGTGCACGCAGTACCTGAGCATACTTTAACACACAACTGGTATGCTCTGATTACAATCGCATTGCTACATTGCTTTGTTGTGAGATTAGATCGCATTACCCAGAACGCATATATGAGCACCACAAAGCATTACTACAACACATTGCTTGTGATGCCGCACGGGCAAACGAACACACTTGTTAAACTGGAATACGAAGCGAGTTGGCTGCGTTAAAACCATCAACCGACGTGGCCCTCAGCCTTCCACGGCACGCCGCTGGCACTTCTTGGCGGCGCCACACGCGGGCCGTTCAGTCCACAATAGCCCGTGTCCGTTCTCACCGCACGGCCGGCGAGACCCACGTCCAGGTAGTACGGCGGGAGGGGGGGGGGGCCTCAGACCAGAGGGGGCCCAGAAAAGGGGGGCAGAGGAGCAGAGAAGTCGCCTCACCTCAGCAGGAAGTTTGCACCGGCGCCCTTGTTGCACGTGTCGTCACCGTAGACGTTACCCGGCCGCCGGCCGCAGAGGCCGCAGAAGAGCCCCATCACCAGGCAGAAGGTGACGATCAGCACCAGGCCGGAGAGGATCAGGAACAGATAGTACCTGGCGGCGCCGAGAGATGTCGCAGGTCACGATCCCGCCGGCCACTCTTCAGACAGTTCCGCGCGCCTCGCCACGGCGGTGCACGGGGTGTCAAGTGCAGGGACAGCTCCGCTGACAGAAGAGCAGCAGTGCACGGTAGGCGCGCGTCAGAACCAGTGAACGGCACAGAGCGCGAGAACGGAGAGAGGCGGGGGAGGCGGCTGCACCTCCCCTCTGCAGCCGTCCCTTCTCTCCTACGGCAATGCTGGGAAACAAAGACAGTGGAACTGAAAGTCTCAGAAAGTGACGGTGTCAGCAACAATTTCGAAGCCGATTCTTTCCATACGTCGCTATGAGGTTAATATTCGGCATTCTCAGAAAGTGGGGTTGCAATGACACTGACAGAACACCCGTTTCTCTTCCTATACTTGAAGAAAGCGAACAACTTCGAGCTTGCCCGCCCCTCCCCACCAATCTCTTCCGTGGATGGGGCGTCATTTTCGCACGCGCGTCAGCGAGACAGCTGCCACACTGGGGCCGGCCGCCACGCGACAGACCTGCCCCGTGAGACCCGGCCGAAGCCTGACCTGAACGAGCCGTACTGCTGCAGGTACTGGTTGGCCTCGTCCAGCGCCTCGTGAGCCGGCCGCAGCCGCACGCTGTCCAGTGCCGACGAGATGTTTGCTGCCGCGTCCTGCAGCCGGATGCCTGCCGACGACGGCGGGGAGGGGGGAGGGGAGGGGTTCAGCGGCCGCGCAAGCCCACACGCACACGCCGCTGGACGTCAGGCGGGCGGTGCACTAGGTCATCAGGTCATTAGAATGCGGCGTCATGTCGTTACGTATGCTGTGTTAAGTCATCATACACACTGCGGCAAGGCATCACACACGTCAAGCCGACGCTTTTCTTTTTTTGGTTTAAAGAGAGCGCGCCGCATGTCACCCCCGCACCCCTCTATGGAGCGTCAGCGGCTGCCTTGACAATGTCTGCGCTCAGGAACCGTAGCACCGGCGCGGCGCTGCGCAAAGACGTCAGAAACGGCGTCAAGATATCAGGCACAGCGTCAGGAGGTCAGCCACGGCGTCAAGTAGTCAGATACGGCGTCAAGACGTCAGTCACGGCCTCAAGTCGTTAGATACGGCGTCAAGACGTCGGACGCGGCGTCAAAACGTCAGACACGGCGTCAAGTCGCCACACAGCGTCGTTACGTCAGACACGACGTCATGTCGTCAGACACACCGTCAAGACGTCAAAGAGTCATCAGAAAGGGTTTCAGGTACTCAGTCGCCGTACAAAGTCGTTGGGCGCCGCCATACGCATACGGCAAGAGTTAGTTGAAAGACTACGCAGAGTCAGCAATGTCCTTCTTAAAGGCGTTTTCACGTTATGGCCGCCACAGTACGATTCACAGGCTGGTGCTCGTTACGACGGCGCTCGCCACGGGTCGCGCCTCAAGCCCAGCCCCGCGCCCTTCGCTGACAAAGCCCTTTTGTCGCAGTTCCGCTGCCGAATAACAACGAAGAAAGCCGCCCTGGCCCGCCTGAGCCTGCCCCCGGGGTCGACGAATGGTCGCGCCCGTGGCCTGGCACCGCCGCTGCAGCACCAAACAAGTCGGATCGATGGAGAGGCCAGACCTCCTTCTCAGAGGCTGCAATCTCGCAGGCTCTCATTGACACAGTTCGAAAAAAGTTGAGCTCAGGAATGATGCTCGGAAATTCGGAGGCAGAGGAACGAAGTCTGCTCGAGGAGCGAAAGGATGGTTGCTGTGTGTTTACGTCGTCGTTATCCGCACTCGCAAACTTAATTTGTGCATTCGATATGTTGGTAAAATGCCAACACACATGCTTTGTTATCAGATTGTTGTTGCAACAACCCTGACGGCAGGAAAGTCGCGATACCCTATAAAAGAGATGCTTGATGCGCTTAATGGTTATGTTCAGCTACCATCAATATATGTCGGAGAAGCGCAGCGAACAGTTACTCACTGGATTGACCCGGTTTTCTTGTACATCATGTATGGCGTTCGCCGTTTCTATGTACTAAAGCACCCACATCGTTTTGCAATCTATGCTAAGCTTATCTGAAGAGACAACATGGTCTCACCTTCCCAGCTAAGATATTAAATTTTGCCTGCAAGTTTTGTCGCATACTTCTGGACAGTTTTAAGTACCAAAGGGTCTTTGACGTGCCTTTCAGCGCCACAGTACAATCATGGTGGGGCAGCCCGGTGTTCTGACCAGTTGCCAGTCTTTTGACTAGCCACGTACGCGCTATTTCTAACACGGATGCAGACTCAAACTGTTGATTCGCCCTGGAAGTCACACATATGTCTGACGCTCTAACCACATGAGCTGTAGCGAAATTCTGCGAAAGGCCTTTATTGTATTTCCAAGAAATGCAGTGGATTGATTGACCGCACTCCCAGAATAAAACGCACTGACGACAATGATACAGGATCTTTATGGCTCCACGGAAGAGCCAATGATTTTAATGAGTGGGCTCTTACTCAGATATGATAATGGGCGGGGGCAATAGCTGTCCGTCATTTGCCTGGTAAGTGCTTCTGAACTAGACAATAATTATATCATTGCGACTCTTAACGTCAAACAGATGCAGTAGCTTGCCCATAATACAAACCGTCGACCCCCCACACACAATAACCACTGATTGAGGGCCGTAGTCCGTGATGACGACCACTGAAAGCCATTTGCCACAGACAGCATGCAGCGTGGCGGCCATTTTAGCCTACACGTCAGGCAACCGCAATAGCTGTCCATAACTCACCGGCCTGGGCAATCCTGCGACGCACTTCTGGCACGACGGCCGCCACCTCCGCCTGAATGCGGCCCGACAGCTCGTCGAACGACCGTTTGCCTGCACGCACCTCTCGCTCGATGCCGTTCTCGATCAGCGAGGAAATCTCGCGAGCCGTTCTCGTGACGTCCGGCAACTGCAGCGCAAAGTCAGGCCAGGTCAGGTCAGGTAGCACTCAGGCCACGTTACCGCCAGGTCACCACGTGCCACGGGAAGTTACATTGAACACAGGTCGGGTCAGCTATAGAGTCTGTCATGCAGAGATCGGCCAGCCCAGCTGTAGTGCAGGGATCGGGCCAGCAGCAAGCCATTGAGGCCCCATTACGTTAAGGTCAGGATCAGGTCATGACCCAGCCAAAGCCTCCATAAGCTGAAGACCAAGCAGGCGGGGGCGAGGCACAGTAGCTGTGACAGATGAATGAGATTGTGTCCGGCTTGGGCCAGGTCAATGGGTCACAGCGAGGTGCCAGTGGAAGATTTGTACAAGCACCGGACACAGGCCAGGTCCGCTATCTGCAGGTCAGGTCACCCGCCGGTCAGCAGTCTGGCGCCAGCGAGCCAGTCCTATGTTTGTTACAAGACAAGGTAATGACAGCTATGAGCATTGGGTTGGAATGATGGGGGCATTAGTTTGTGCACCAGGTAGCTTATACACCAGGCACGTGCAAGCAGCATTATGACCTGAAATCGAATGCAACTTTAGTTGAACCCATCTGCTTTTGGCGGACGAAATTCATGCAACGTCACACAGATATAAAGAGCCACGGTACCTATAGACACCGAGGTTCAAACAAGGCATGCACGCCTCCAATGTCCACGACCGCAGGTCAGCTAGTCCTCGGAGCGTCTCAGGCGAAATCACCAAGACATCCAGGCCTCTCACACCGTGAAACACTGGCACATGGCGCAGGTGCTGATGGACGGAGCGCGCTCCAGACACTGATCCACCAGCACCGTGGCGGACCGCACGCAGGCCAATCACGGCACATGACCACACAACTGCCGGATCCTAGCAGACTGGTGCCAAACTTAATGATAATAACGCAAGGAAATCAAGCCTCATGCAATTCATCACCGCTATGTAAGAAAACGCCATGCTTAATCACTTGCATCTGAAAGAACATATCCCCTGATTGAAACTAAATGTGCATTTCAAAGATGGTACCTACTATAGAACTTAGGAGGAAAAGCTGTTACCACAGAGGACATGACATTCGGGACTCAACGTCGACATACACTGGAAGAGAGCACATGCCAATCACCAACACAACATGGATAAAGTGAGCTCAAGTGCCTGCATGTCTGTGAGACCGCTTGAAAATCGAGCACACGTATGACCACAGGGTCGAGCCGGTCCACCCGTGCAAATCAGTGTCTGCCTGAACCGCTGAGAACTGTACACTGTTCTCTTCAGACAGCGACGCCTGGACCGCGGAGGACTGTACACTGTAGTCTTCAGACAAGCGACGCTTGGACCGCAAAAGCGACGCTTGGACGCTGTACCCCACGGACAAGCGACGCTCGGGCCGCAGAGGACTACACGCTGTACCCACGGACAAGCGACGTTCGGGCCGCAGAGGACTACACGCTGTACCCCACGGACAAGCGACGTTCGGGCCGCAGAGGACTACACGCTGTACCCCACGGACAAGCGACGCTCGGGCCGCAGAGGACTACACGCTGTACCCCACGGACAAGCGACGCTCGGACCGCAGAGGACTACACGCTGTACCTCACGGACAAGCGACGCTCGGGCCGCAGAGGACTACACGCTGTACCTCACGGACAAGCGACGTTCGGGCCCGCGGAGGACTACACGCTGTACCCCACGGACAAGCTCCGCTTGGACCGCAGAGCGAGGCAGCCGTATCTGACGAGCTCCAACAAAGTTCAGCTCCAGGCCGGGCACGCCTGACTTCCGCGTCCACAGTGACTCGCGGATACGGTGCGTGACCGGACGTGTTAACGTGCTCAACCGCGGTGCCTGGCCAGGCGTGACTCTGACGACTCGCGAGTAGGAACGAGCGGCTACAGCGGCCGGCGGCGCACTACTACGGCTAATGAGCATGCGCGTCTCGAGTCTGACTCAGCGTGCCTGTTGTGGCTCGTGGGCACGCGAAACTACACAGCTTCTGGGCGCGCGGACCGCCGTGCAGGAATACGCCGTGCTAGTTCTCAGTAACGGTGGCGTGACTTATGGCCACCATGTGACTTTCGTGCAACCGGCCCATAAAGCGATGTTAGTACGTTACCTTCGGCAGCAGGTCGTAAGCAAGCCACTGGAAACATGGCCGAGCGGTGGTTAGTTGGGGGATGAGGAAGGCCCTCGCGACCGCAGGAAGGCGCTGTTATTTCCACGCATATGAGTTAGATCAGCAGTCGACAGTCTGAGAGCGACGGCTGCCCGACATGTGGACGGTAGGAAAAGGACAGACCAAAATGTGAAGCACAGAAGGGGTACTTGAAGGTACATGAAACAAGTGCAGGATTGAAGGAGCATGTGCAAGGTTTAAGATCAGCAGAAATCGCCCACAGAAGAGAAAAGAGACGAAGCTCACGACCGGCAAACAAAACGCCCTTGGAGATTCAACATCCGGGCATAATATCGCCAATTTACTGTCCCCATCGTACACCACAAGCACGAGCCTTACCTTGTCAGCTCCCTTTGCTTGTCACTCTCCGAGAGTCTCCCCCGAACCCAGACATTTCTATCTTCTTCTATTGAGACGCCTCTGTGCCGTTTATCATGTTCTCCCGACAATCGTCTCCAAGCCACCTGTGTATCCATTTTCTCGCACCCCTGTTCCTGCCTTCCTACTTCCTTGTGCTCCGCGTGCTCATCATCTCTGCAATATCTTAGCGCCGTTTGTAACTGCTCCCATCCTGAAACACATTCCTACATCCTCTGCTACCCCCGTCCGTCTGTCTTCGTCTCCCATCCCTCCGCACACACCATCTGCGTTTCCTGTGAGTCCTTGACAAACTATGGGTGTTTGTTCTTCAGTGTCTATTTCCGTGTCCAGTGCCTATCTGCTCCTGCATTTATCAAAGTCTCCACCCTTTCCCCCTCTTTTTGTAAAATTTTCGCCTCCCACTCCCTTTGCACCCGTCTCCGAGTCCCCTTCGTTATCTGCACTTGTCCCTGCCTTCGTTTCCGTTTGCTCCTTCTTTGCAGCCGCCTCCGAGTCCCTCCATTGGCACAGTCCCTTGTCCGCTCAGTACCCCACTCTCTCTCCCTCACCTGTCTGAACTCGTTCTGCACGGCCAGTTGGGAGAGGTTGTACTGGCGCTCCAGCTGCTGGCAGGCGGGCGAGCTGCACAGCAGCAGCAGGCTGGACAGCTCAGCCTGCACACCCTGTAGGCCCACCGTCAGCTGGTCGGCCCGCACCTGCAGCTGCTGGGTCTGGTCGGCGATCGCCTGCGGCAGAGACCGGCCGGCCGGGGTCAGGCGGGGTCAGGCGGACGCCGGAGCAGCGCGGGGAAGCGCAGGCGCTGGTGGCTGGTCGCGGACGGGGTCAGGCGGGGTCAGGCAGACGCGGAGCAGCGCGGGGAAGCGCAGGCGCTGGTGGCTGGTCGCGGACGGCGTGCGCTGGGCTCGCACTACGCCGCGATGTTATGTAAGAGCGTGGGCACACGTACTACGTAGGTTTTCTGAGGAATACAGCTCACGGTTGGAGTGCGATCACCGAGACTGTGTCCAGCCCGCACAGAACCGTGCACAGTGATCGCTACTGTGCACGCATGGGAAATTCAATTCCACGATACATACGCTATGACATAACTTTTCGGCAGTCACAAGGAAAGGCAAACCAGTACAACAAAGTACGACAAACGCGGCCGGGAAGGCAAGTGGGGCTCACGCACGTTCAGATCTCGCCGTATGTCCCGCAGGCCCTCGGCGATGGCGGCTAGGTCGTCCACGGCTACGGCACGAGAGATGTTGGCCAGCTTGGCCTTGACCCGGTCACCGCACTCTGCCGGGCGAGCGCACAGTGGTCAGCGCGGCTGCCGTCGGCGACCAGAACCGCCAGCCGGTGCACACTGGGGTCACGGAGCCAGACCGCTGCGAAAGCGGCGCCTGGCGGGGCAGGCGTAATGCGCGGCACACATACAGACGGCAAACGCTCACGACGCGGGAGCCATCAGTCTGTGGAGGTCAACACCCGCGCCCTCCGCTAATGGCGAATCATCACCGCACACGACGTTCTTGGTGGGAAACATGACGCCTTCAAGTTTAACGTCAGACTGTGTGCAATCTGCTTCACACCGAAGCGCTGGAATGGTGTGACTACGACCGACAACGCTTGCAGACCCTGAACAAATCCCTCCAGCCCCAGCACCGCACATGCTCCCAGCTCCAGCAACGCATGTCCTCCCAGCCCCATCACCACATGTCCTCACAGCCCCAGTCCCTTACGTTCTCCCATCCCCAGCCCCTCGCGTCCTTCCAGCCCCAATACCTCACGTCCAACCAGCCCAAACCTCACACCCTCCCAGCCCCAAAAACTTCACGTCCTACCAGCCTAGCACCTCACGTCCTACCAGCCCAGCACCTCACGTCCTACCACCCCAGCACCGCATGTCCTCCCAGCTCCAGCCCCAGCCCCAGCCCAGCCCAGCCCAGCCCAGCCCCAGCCCCAGCCCCAGCCCCAGCCCCAGCCCCAGCTCCAGCCCCAGCCCAAGCTCCAGCCCCAGCCCCAGCTCCATCTCCATCTCCAGCTCCAGCTCCAGCTCCTGCTCCAGCTCCAGCTCCAGCTCCAGCTCCAGCTCCAGCTCCAGCTCCAGCCCCAGTCCCATCCCCAGCACCGCATGTCCTCCAGCCCCAGCCTGAGCCCCAGCCCCAGCCCCAGCCCCAGCACCGCATGTCCTCCCAGCTCCAGCCCCAGCACCGCACGCCGGCCGCTTTGAGCGTCCATCGGCCGCCGTGACGGGGTGCTAGTCTGCAGGCACTCACTGTCCAGCGACTCGTCCGCACCCCCTGCAGCTCGCGGTAGTTGTCCACCAGCAGGTGGTTCACCTCCTGCCGACATAGACAGACACACAATGTGAGCGGCTGGCTCACCTCCAGTGGACACAAACAATGTGTAACACAAAGAACCCGTTCCCCGCATTGGTGGATGGGCTGGAGTGGACCCCTTACCGTCTCGTACAGACGTCACAAACGGTTAGCTAAACGACGTGCCTTCCGGCACCGTGAGTTACTGAACTGAGCCTCGGACGACGCCGGGACTGAGCCTGAACTGAGCCACGGACGACGCCGGGACTGAGACTGCACCGAAACACAAACGACACGCGTGACAGACTGAACTGAGCCATGGACGATACGGGTGACTGAGACTGACTGAGCCCCGGACGACGCCGGTGACTGAGTCGGTTGGCGGTCAAGCGCTGTGCTAGGATGCTGGACACCTACAGCGGGGGCTCAGCTCACGGGCAAGGCATGACACGTGGAGTGATCAACGGGTGCTATGAGTCAGGAGCATGGCGCGCCGACCAAACACAGGTTTGCAAATTAACTGTCGGCGATTTCAGAGTCAAGAGGAACTATGACTGGTAACCAACGCCTGGGGTCGTATAAACGATCTATTGGCCGCAGTACCCAGCGTTACGATCTGTCATAGGAGACGCACAATGCTGGGCATATATGACATATCAGAACAGATGAGACGCCTTAGTGATGCTCGACACGCAAACCGTATCACGTCAAAAAACCGAACATATCGAAACCGTTTACATCACAGCCGCATTATGGATGTTCAGATGTTCGTGCCTTTGCATGTCCAGCTCCGCACGCGGATTAACGTCTCCCGATTACCCTCCACCGACTAAGCGTCCGGTGTCAGCTGGACTGGTGACCGGTACCCAGTGTCAGCTGGACTGGCGACCGGTGCCCAGTGTCAGCTGGACTGGTGACCGGTGCACAGTGTCAGCTGAACTGGTGGCCGGTACCCAGTGGTCAGCTGGACTGGTGACCGGTACCCAGTGTCAGCTGGACTGGTGACCGGTACCCAGTGTCAGCTTGGACTGGCGACCGGTGCCCAGTGTCAGCTGGACTGGCGACCGGTACCCAGTTGACAGCTGGACTGGTGACCGGTACCCAGTGTCAGCTGGACTGGCGACCGGTGCCCAGTGTCAGCTGAACTGGTGGCCGGTGCCCAGTGTCAGCTGGACTGGTGACCGGTTGCACAGTGTCAGCTGGACTGGTGGACCGGTGCCCAGTGTCAGCTGAACTGGTGGCCGGTGCCCAGTGTCAGCAAATGGTAACCAATGACCATCATCGGTCGGCCATCGGCAGCAGAGGACCGGGGGAGCCCACACAGCCCAGGATGCCGGCTTGTCCACCATTGATCAAGCGGCGCACAGTGGCCAATTCCGACGCACGGACGGCAATACTGGCGCAGATCGATGCCGCTCGCTTCCGGCGCCCCCCGACCGCCGCCGACCGGTCGCACGCACCGACTCGGACCGGCGCCAGACGCCGAAAACACGCGGGAGCGAGCCGGCCGCGAGCGCCGCCGGCTCGGACCCAACCCTGGCGCCGATCCTGCACGCCACCGAGCTGCGCCCAGCCACACGACGACTGCATGAGCCTGACGGGACCACGCCAGGCGGGACAATGGGCGTCAAACTTCGGGGTGTAATCACGAGACGAGCGGGCCACGTTGCGCTACCATGCATAGCGCCGTCAATGAGGGCCGCGACCAAGTTTCTGGTGGCGCAGAGGCGGCCGCGCGGGTCGCAGCCGCGACTGCACGGCGCCGCGGCGGGACATGTACGCGGCGACCGCGCGCGACTGCACGGCGCCGCGGCGGGACCTGTACGCGGCGACCGCGCGCGACTGCACGGCGCCGCGGCGAGATCTGTACGCGGCGACCGCGCACGACTGCACGGCGCCGCGGCGAGACCTGTACGCGGCGAAACACTACGGCGGCGGTCGTATGCGCCAGCAAACGCCGCCCAGTATAGCGTCCGAGCCGGCCCGAGCGACGGCTGGCCACCCGCCAAGGCACTGCCACCACCACACGGCGCGCGCGCGGTCACGGGACGGCAGCTCGGAGTGAGGCGACCGCGGCGGCCCAGGCTCAGCTTCTGGTCACCCAGGCTAGAAGCCACTGCCGCAGCGACAATCCGTTGTCGGGCCCGCGAACTTTAACAATGAATTACGCCTTCCCGACATTCAATACACTGTTCATTTGCTTTCTTGCTTTGCGCTGTTTCTCTATATGACACCGTACCTTGTAAGTAGGGCACCGAATCTCAAATGTTTACACGAATAAATTTAGCCCAGTGTTTTCACAGAACAGATCCAACGGGTCTTCTGCAACGTGCACAACGATTTCTGTGCCAAGGTCCAATGACATGTTTCCACCATTACTGATCATACGAGACCAATCAGTCCTTTCAACGGATATGACTAGGATGGCAGCTTGTTAGGGGTACAGACAAAGGCTCACATCCCAAGGATTAGCTGCTGATTATGACCCTTAGCAAGGTACACAAAGCATACTTTAGACAGAACACCGATGGCCTCCCCACATTGATGGGCTCGATTCTGTCCTCAGATTCTTCATTGTGCACTGCAGAAGCTTTGTCACTTAATAAAAACATAAACGCGGCTATAAGCAGTCTTCGAACCAAAGACAAATCCGCCTGGCGGTTACTACATGATCTGGCTAATGCTCAGCGCTACGCTCAAAAACACGAACCAGTGGCAAGAAAGCCATGCTCCGAGGTTTTTGGCGGCGGGA